CTGCGCTGTTAGAGAGCCCCGCTCTCCTCTGCGCTGCGCTGTTAGAGAGCCCCACTATCCTCTCCTCTGCGTTGTAAGAGAGCCCCACTCTCCTCTCCCCTGCGCTGTTAGAGAGCCCCGCTCTCCTCTGCCCTGCGCTGTAAGAGCTCTAATCTGCACCACCAGGACATCAGGAATCCACAAGGTCACCCATGAGTCCCACTATCCTTCATCTCAAATGGCATTAAAACTGTAAAAATGAGGTTATGAGACAGGCACTGTGCTACACGTTTAACTGCTGCAATAATTCCAGGCAGATTCTGTAGTTCAGTTTCTTTTTCCTAAATTAGGATAGGATAGTTAATCTTTTCTGCAACATTTCCTGTAAATAATCTTTCTCATAACCACACATTATTATATTATTATTTTCTTGTTGTTTTATTTGTTGAGGGTACAAAAGCTATTTTCCATTATACTATTTCAGGTATATTCCAGGATACACAAAGTTTCCATCAGTTAGGAACATAAGAAAGTTGACAAATGAGAAAAGGCCATATGGCCTTTCTGTTCTGTTTGGTTCCAGCTGTTTCCTGAAACAAGCCAGGGCATCGGCTTCAACATGTTTTTCGCACATACATACATGTTCAAAAGCATGTGAGGCTCACACACAGACACAAACACACAAACACAGTACAGAGCATCACAGCTCACCGGTCATTGTGCAGATTTGCTCTGAAGATTTGCAACAGAGTCTCCCCGAAACGTTCCATCTCCCCGGCGTCCCTCTGAATCCCCTTCATGTAGTCAAACAGCGACTGAGCAGAGTAGCGGACCTACAGAGCAAAAGACAAGGTTCAACAAAGCCTGCAGATACAAGCGGAAAGGCAGCAGCCCGAAGTCTCCAGGCGTGAGGGGTTCCTGCTGAGGGACGCACAAAGAGGCACTTCGGTGAAGCAACAACTCGCAGTGAAGGGATCCTTTACTTGCAGCTTCTCAAATGGAGCAATTTTACTCCTATGCGGGGAGGCTGTTTTCTAACAAATGGCAAGCTGGCTGTAAGTTTAATCAGATTGCATTACAGGGCACCTGCACAGGCTGCAAGCTGGTGGGGAAGGCAGTAATTGCAGATGAAGAACAATTTGTTGGCTGTCAGAATAAACACGCTAGTTTGCCACCTGGCATCGTTATTTGACCTATTAAAGGGTAAGGTGTCCATCAACATCTGCCTGACAGCTTCAAAAAGAAAAAAAGCTGGAGAACACCTTCCATGCAAGTTTCAGGTACTGCCTTAACCTTTACAAACACACTTTCCAGGTGTAGTGACTGTGATTACTGTATGAGTCAAACTGCACTATGACCCAGCATTTCTTCCAACCAATGGCTTTGCCCCAAATGGCTGGGAGTGACTGCTGGCAGGGCCTGGGGATGCAGACAGCAGTGTTGTCACTGGGCCTGGCCCTGAGCCCGTACAGGGGCTGCTCTGGCAAGCACAACAAAGCACTGGGCTGCTCTACGCCATTAGCAGCTTCCTGTCTCTGAGCTGCAGCCTCAGCAACAGAGCTTTAATTTGCTGCCTATTTAGACGCAGTCAATTTGAAATAATAGCAGTCTTCACAGCAAGCTTATTTAATTCTGTACTCTGAGCAGGTCTGCACCAATGTGGGAGGTACAGGCCAGTGATAACCAGTTTCTTATTTCTGACTGTGAAATATGCAGACTGTCTATTTGAGCAAACCAAAATATTAATTCAACTCACATTGTTTAAATAACAGCACCAAAAATTCATAGCAGAGAAAATAGTCTTTTGTAGAGAGAGTTGTGTCAGTTTTTACCATAAACAGAATCCCTACAGGACTCCTGAGCTCCTCAGGCTCTGTCAACACAACAGACTCTTTCAAAGGTCCAGGCAGGGACTCAGGATGTACATTCACAGCTGCTTCTAACAAAATCCGTTACCTGCTTTACTTAGCAGTAATTAAAAAAATAACTGGTTCTGCAAAATCTTTTTTTTAATATTGTGAAAGGACCAAGCTGTTATTATTATACTGTTTATTTATATATTAGAACTGCAGCCATAAGCCTGGTCCTGTTTCACAATCTTCACTCAAGCTAATCTTAACAGAAAACAAATGGGACACACTTTTTCATCAACACAGGCACTTCGTATGTGAATTTAGTACAGCAACCAAAATTCTTTATATTCATCGTATAATTCGCGGGCATGTTGCCAGACAAAATTTACATCTGAAATACCCACCACACCTTGCTTTGTAAAAATATAATTTTTCTATTTTCTTTTGTTTTTCTTTTTTCTAGAATAAGCCATCCTGGCTGTCAGTTTGTGCAGATAGCTGTGTTTGCTCTGGCATGCTTGGCAATGCAGGCTGAAACCCCAAACTCTTCACAAATGCACTTACAGAGGGACTGCCTGACCTGTCATTAAAATGGTTAGAGGTCTACAGATGAAATGAAGGGTCCCTTGGAACATCAGGCTCTAAGCTTTGGGGAACAGCGTCTGTGATTCTGCTTGATAATGCTTCCACTGAATTAAAAAGGTCCCCAGCCTTCCGATCCCAGCTGTGATCCCTCCTGTGTGTATGGCAGACCAAAGCACTATGTGATAAAGGTGTGTCTTTAAGGAAACAGCTCAATACTGACCAGCGAGGACCTGCAGTCATGTCTACAACATCTGAGCCTTAGGTTATGATCAGATCAGTGTTTTGAACCTCACCCAGGTTTCTCTTGAGATGAAAAACATCATCTCAGCAAAGCAACTCACTACAGAAAACACTCCTGCTCTACACTCTATGTTACCCTTCCCTTAAAATAAATACCCTTTTCTTCCAGACAGGAGAGATCGTTCATTCAAAACAGCAGTGAGTGCAACTTCAGGCACAAGAGGCATACCGGCAAGCACATACACTGCAGCAAGCTTTCGGCTGCAATGAGTACAGTCCATGAGCGTACTGCAGTGGAATAAACTGATTTAGAGTAAGAGCACAGTTCATTCAGCACAGGAGGTCCTACAAATATTCTAAGATGTGGGCCAACACTGCCACCTGCTGGAGCCTGAAAAACTCCAGCACTGTGCTATCCCCTTTCCTTTACTAAACTAATTTTCAGCTTAGTTTAAAATAAGTTTAATAAAAGTTCTTAGTGGGAAAACTCTATATAAATTGTATATCTATATATATCAGATGCAAGGGGTGTCACGTGAATGTCTCTCTCTTGGATCTGATGTGTCACTGTGCACAGACACGACATGTCGTACCGTGGACTCGGTGAGCCCCCCCACTGACACGGTGAGGCCCAGCAGGGTGTGGTGCCGATAGACTGGCAGGCGCAGCAGCTGTGTGATGTGGGGGAAGGCCTGGGAGGGTGCGTTCCAGTTCAGCGTCTCAGCCCCACCACTGAAACACAAAGGTTACACACTAGGCACGTGCACTAAGGTAGTCATTCAGTCCACTGTAATACTCGTGTCCAGTACAGTGTCCAGACAAAATGCCCTTGGGCAAATCTGTTGGGCTGCAACCCTCCGATTCCAGTCTAAACACTTTTCCATCTCAACATTTACATAGAATACTTAGAAACTACTGACACACAGATGAGAGCACTGCAACATTCTTGTAGAAGCAAAATGGATAATGGCTAGAGCTAGCTGTTTTCTAGAGCTGAAACAACAGGCCGACCCACAGAAAACCACCACACTGTAAATCAAATCTTTGACACTTTACAGATGATAACAGCTCTCTCTCAGAATCCAAGCTTTCTGAGATCCACAAAGAGCTCCACAAAGAGCCGATTAAGTTGATTCTTCAAATTGCTTTGTTTGTTGTTAACAACAAAGCCACATGGACAGGTGCTTATGGTGTATGAAATCACTGTAGTACTGCCTTGCCAATTTACAGTGGTTTAACTAATTGATAGTGTTGTATTAAAACCAGTCATTACATCACATGACAATTACTGTTTCATTCTCCCTTTTACTTGTAGTTTAGCTTCCACTAATCTTGTAAAATGTGGCCACCCACGATACTTTATAATTACACACAGTACTAAGTTTAATGGGCCTAGCACCTGTGCTCATGATTCAGTCTCACTGAATATTCAGAGTGCTTGAGTAGCGATGTGAGTATTCCTCACTGTGCACAGAACACCATCACCTCAGAATACCGCACAGGAGGCGGCATAAGTGATATCTATGAGACACAGAACATGTTAGTACAGGCAGTCCCCTTCCCTTTTTAGAACATAAGAAAGGTGACAAACTGGAGGAGGCCGTTCAGTCCATCCAGCCCGTTGGATCTCATGAAGACATTTCTAAAACAAGCCATGTCATTGGCTTGAACCACAAGGCTGGGCAGCTTGTTCCACACTCCAACAACTCTTTATCAATGCCTTTGAGAATTTCCAAAACCTGGCTCAGGGCTTCTTGTACTTTTCTCTGCTGAGATTAAAGGTGTGCAGTTCCTTCAGCATGCCAGTACATTGCTACTCAAGCTTTTCTTAGTGGAGCTTTGGGCTCATCAGAATAGCAAAGGTTTCCCATCCAGCCGCCGCTTAATAATTTAATTCAAAATCCACAGTGCAATTCTAAATTACATCTAGAATTGTGATCCATTTTCAAGTAATATTGAGCATTTTATATCCAATGTAAAGAAACAAAAATAACAACTTTAAAACAAAGGAGCAGGTGTTTGCTGGATTAATAACCTGAAACACTATGGAAGCCCTTGACTTGTGATGAGGATCCCCATAATGGGCTTGTCAAAGTTTATCCCTCTTCTGAATACAAATAACCAGTATCACAGAGTTTCAAGAAAGCAAATCTAATAAAAAGGACAGCAATCTCCAGGGCAGCAAAGAAGCTGCTTTACCTGCTGAGACAACACAAGCAGCTCACCTGGGAAAAATGCTCAAGAGCTCCTCCCGGTGGGGAATGTGAGGTACTGGGGGGTCCTGGGAGTGCAGGATGCGCAGGAACACAGAGCCAGCATGAGCACGGTACCGGTCAATCTTCTCTGCAGACTGCTGGGCCAGACAGCACATCATATGCTGGCAACTGAAGGCAAAACACTGGTTAGGCTCTAGAAACCAATCACCATGACTGAAAAGACATGTTTTAATTACACTGGAATTCTTACTTCACTGTAAAAAGTATATAAGAGCATTATCAATTATTTAAAGTTTCTTTGAGTAAAACCCTACGAAAGGTACAATGAGCGCACTGTGATGCCTATATGTCGGACTGTAGATACACACATGCTGGAAGAAAGCAGCTCAGGGTCACTCCTGACAAGCAACAGCGTCACCTCCATCAGGCTGGTCATTGCAGCCTCTCGTACCCTGCAGAGAGAGAGCACAATTACCTTTGGCTCCTCAACCTTTCCATTGGATGGGAATTGGTGACAGTGCAGTTTCAGAGGGTGCCTATAGCAGTCTGTCAGTTTACTGGTGCCACAGGGGTCCTGGAAGATGTCTTTGGTTGTCTCCCATTCTCTAAGGCTGGCTGATGTTGTCTAGGGGTGTTCTGGGGTGTCCAGGAATTACAGTCCTGTCTTCATATCTCATTTCAGATCTGTTTAAGACATTGAGCCAGGGCTTGGTTGTGGTTGCTATTGTAACGAATATACCCCTGCGTATAACAGGGATCTCAGCTGCCTGGGCTGGGGGAGTTCTCCTTTAGCTCAGCTGGCAAGTTCCTTGTGGTGTGACGCCGGAGGCCCGGGTTCGCACCCAGGCAGTGAGGGACGGACTGGCAGGGCAGGAGTGTCAAGGGCGGGAACCCCAAGAACCGTCACACTATCAATGATAGAAAGTTCTAGACGGGTGCTCATTTTAATATGGTGTGCCTGAAGTGCCGTAGTGCTCCAGACTTGCCCTGAAGATGCCTAGATTTACACCTACACAACTAGTATGACAAGATATTTACACTGCAGGTTCATGACAATCTGATTTTAAGAAATCTGAGAACATCTCTTTACTCAATAGATTCATTTGTCTTTTCATGATATTTAACAATCTCTTCAGGAATGATTCAACCATAGGTTGTCGATTCTTTAAGTTTCTTTCATATGCAAATTACTTCACCTGTGAACGTGATAAATTCCTGTGACTTTGCTTACAAGGAACTCCTTGGCGTAAAACCTGTTTTTAATCTTTTAATAGCTGTTTTCTTTTCTAAAAACACACCTACAGGGCCGTTCAAAAGAACTCCGAAATTGCTTTGGTGAAGAGAGCACAGAGCAGGGTACTGTCATTCAAGCTAGTATTTACACAAATAAAAAGGATGTAATGTCATTTTCTTTTTTTTCCCCCCCAAGGTGGAGCAAATTCTTCCCTTTGGCAAACTGTAACACCATATACTGTAATACCAATTAAAACACTGAAGGTTTCTAAATGCCCATTTTTTAACTTTCCTGTTTCTCTCTTTGCTAAACTTTGCAGTAACCAGTGACTCACATGAGGAGAAACTATTCCAGTTTCTTCCTCTCGGTCTAACTTATGAAAACCTGCTCCTTAGATCCTCAGCATTATTCACACGCAATTGCTGCAGTAAAAAACAACCAGCACTAGGCTCCTTTTGAGACAGGCTGCAACTCTTTTTCAGGTACATTCCCGGAAGAGAGTAAACTGTACTCGGAGCAATGGTTTACAGCAGTGCTGCCCTGGGAGCTGTGATACGAGCCCAGTCAGACTGGATTCCTGGCAATCTCAGGTAGAGCCAGCAGCTCTGGTGACACGAGGAAACAGGACCATTCCACACAGTGGTGCAGCAGGGCTCCAATGGCACAGAGACGCTGCGTGCTGACCCATACAATCCGCTGTGCCAACAGCACTGAGCACCGCAGGAGTCTCATTTAGCAACAGAACCTCCACCAAAGAGCAACCTGTAGCACTAAAATGAAATGTCTTTTTAGTTGAAAACAAGTTTCAGCAGAGCTCACATTTATTTTGTGAACTGTGATCTCTGGACTGACCTGTACACGCAACACTACATCTTTACACAGAGCAAGTCTGAAAGATGTCCTCTGTGCAGACTCTGCCCTCCCACTGTGAGAGCAGCACACTCAGTGGCCAGACATACCATGCTCCCACATCTCCCCTGCTGTCAGTCGTGTAGTCGTTCATGCAGTCCAGCAAGATGCTATATATCTGAGGCACATTCTCCACACACAGCACTGCATCTGGAGTTCCCTGTGCTGAAACTCCCACTGTGGCACAGACCCTGGGAGCATTAAAAGAAGAGAATAAAAAAGGAAGTTCAGAAACTGTTTGAGTGGGCAGGCTTTGACATGCCAGACTCCAGTCATGGCTCTCTTCCAGTGGAAAAGTCTCCTGGAGACTCAATCTAATTGTACAGAATAATGGGGAAATTATGCTGTCTGATTTAATAGTGGAAGCTAATATTTACATTTCATATTCATTGTCAACTGCTGCTGCAAAATTTAATTCTCTTTTCTGTCTTTTTTCCCCAATAGATTGCTCCTGTAGATACAGGCCACGTGAGGACGAATTAAAGTTGCCACATTAACCTTTGACCCGGAACGTAACTCTATATGCTCAACAGCCCTGACAGGTGGCCCTGTGGGAAAGAAAGGACTCTGTGTGAAGCTTCACGGCTCGATGGGCAGCATGAGCCCACACAGGTAATTCAGGTAACAGTTCTCTCTTTGCAGAGCAGATTACAAAAGCTGTATTTGTTTTTTTCATATTTGTTTTGGCTTACAACATTTTGCTTCAGGCGTCTGTTTTAGCTTTCGGACAAACATGGCAGATGAAAAGAGAGATTAGAGAGAAGTTCACACTGACTGTGCAATGGCTTTTAGGGCATCTCTCCTGGCCTCTGCAAAGCTTGCATTTTGGGGAGTGATTCGGCAAGTCATCTGGAGTCCTTTCAGCACCTGAGTCATCACAGGACAAACATCTTAAACATCCTATTTGACGACACACAAATATTCTTACTCCCTCACATGTAATCCTCATTACCTCAAGACACACGAAATGATGACGACAAAAGCCCAACAGAAAATTTCATATGAAAAAAATAATCTGAGTGTTTAGCTCAGAATTAAGGGTCTAATGTAACTCTATATACCCCTTATTACTACTGTGTTAAAGAAACTTGACTGCCTCTTAATATACTCTGTAGGAGAGCCGGCGTGCGGATCACTGTGTGTAGGAGAGCTGGCGTGCGGATCACTGTGTGTAGGAGAGCCGGCGTGTGGATCACTGTGTGTAGGAGAGCCGGCGTGCGGATCACTGTGTGTAGGAGAGCCGGCGTGCGGATCACTGTGTGTAGGAGAGCCGGCGTGAGGATCACTGTGTGTAGGAGAGCCGGCGTGCCCATTGCTGTGTGTAGGAGAGCCGGCGTGCCCATTGCTGTGTGTAGGAGAGCCGGCGTGCCCATTGCTGTG